GCCTTTCTGCCAACAACGACCCGAGTAACTGTTTATTGTTTGTAACCATAGCAACAGCTCTACCAAAGCCTCCTGCGTTTCTGTGTCCTCCACACCAATGTTGTTCAACCCGTGGTATGCACCCCTGGGGGTACACGAGACACGGGCAGGGGGTCCACGGGTGCTGCATTTTGGTCTTTGCCTGCTTGGGCTGGAAATTCCAGCCCCTGCCGCCGCGTCCGGTGCGCCAGAGCTTTCACCCCCCAGCTTCAGTGTGCGAGAGGATAGGGAGGGAGGATGCGCGCAGGCTGCTTTGCCCCAGGCCACGGTGGAAAAAGTGGGACTCGGCTCATGGTGGTGAAACTGGAAGTGGGACTTCTGGTTTCACTTTTGCCGCTTTGATTGCCAAGGGGTACATAAGGTACCAAAGGTTGAGAACCACTGCTGCACACTGTGGAGACTCACCGGGGATGTCACTAGGCAGGAGAGAGGCCACTTCCATAAGCAGAATTTCGGGGCTTCTTTCCTTAGTCATAAACATCAGGTAAAATGCAGAGATACTTGTAACAGACATTGACGGTTGCTTACCTGGCTGGAGGGGCTCCCACAATGAGGTTTGTCCCTTCAGAGACACTGGACTAGGGAAAAGGAAATTTGTCCCAACAGGGACCAAAATGAAGCTGACCCAGACAGGCACATCTTGATTAAGGGACAGGATGGAATAACCCTGGCCAGGGGTTTGAAATCAGAGAGGGATGGTTAGGGAGTGCCCACAAAAATCCCAGCCTCTTGATTGGCTGGGAGGGTCCCTTTAAAGGTGGGGAGTTTTCCCCACCCGAAGAGAGGGCAAGGAGGTGAGAGAGGCACTGCAGGGAGAGGGCTGCGACTTGCTCCCAGAGTCCACTGGAAACCGAGGAAGTGGCAGTGGCCAGTGGGTCAGAGGAGCATTCACAGCCCTAGGACTCAAGCTGAGGCTTTGGAGGGAGTGGGCTGATCCCCTCAGGCAGCTGTCTGAGAAGCCTGTGAGTCTGCTTGTTGTGGGGAAGCAAGCCCCCCAGTTAGCATGTGTGTAATTCAAGTGAGGGGCATGCAGCTGCAGGAGCCCAGTCCAGCATGTCCCAGTGCTCAGACAAGGGGAGGCAAGATTCGGGGTATTAGTTCCAGTTCGATGGTGTGTGCGACCTAAAGGGAGGACGTGGGCAGTGGGAGCCACACCCAGTGTGTTCACCCATGGAAGAAGTGTATCTGCTTTAGCCTGCAGCCCACTGTGCAGAGGCCGCAGCCTGGAGCGGTGTGCATTGTGTGTTGCAGGGATCCAGATGTGGGAGCAGCTGCCAGCAGTCTGGGCTGACATGAGAGGACCCCAGCCACAAAGGACCCACCATGGTGCTAGTGGGAGAAGCTGGGGATTGTTGTCCCCCTTCCCCCCCCCCCCCCCCCCCCTCCATCTTTGGCTTTGCATAAAAGTGTATGTATGGAAATTCATGGTGCATAAAGATAATTAGTAGCGCTTGTAAATTAAGTATCCAATAGCTTGTATTGTAAATATTAAGCAATTTATTTATTAGTGCTTCAGTGTTTAATTGTTGTTTTATGCTTCTCCTTTACCTTAGATCACACCTGAGAGGTTATCAGTTTGTGAACCCTGTAGGCACCCCGGTAATTATCCTCATACCAGCAATGCCCCTTTTGTGTAACATATATAGAGTTGTTTTGGTAGCAACTTGTAATTTGTATCTGCCTTAGTTATACTGTATTCTGCATATAATCAAACTATACATAATTAAATATTTGTAAATAATTATATATGTGGTTGCAAAGGGTTTGCAAGGGTAAAAGGGGCCCTCCCTGATGGAAAGCCCCATTTCGGCTCCTAGGAGAGACAAGTAAGGCCTACATTATTGGGAACCCCAGGATTCCAACACTTGGATGTGGCACACGGGTAGCACCGTGTGCCAGGGTTACATACTGAACAGGCTTCTCAGGCAGGAAAGGGCCATAATGAGAGTGCCTGGAGTGTTAGTCCCATGTTACCTGCCAATTACAATCCACTGAGTTTATTTATTTGGCACTTGACCCATGAGAGGGAATCACAGAGGGACACAATGGTACACAACCACCACCACTGCCAACACACTTAAGTCACGGGGGAAAGAAGTGACTAGTAGAGAACTAGTCCAGAGGTGACCAAAATACAGTCCGCAGGCCAGATCTGGCCTATGGGGCCATGTCATTTGGCTCATAGGGCTCCCACCCAGGTCTGGAAATTTGGCAGTGTAGAGAGTGGTGGCAGGGTTAATTGCCTCATCCTGCCACTACATTTCTTGACCAGGGGAAACCCCACAGACCAGATCCAGAGCATGGAGTCATGTCACTTTGTCTGTGGGGCTGCCTGCAGGGCTGGAAATTTGGTGACGGGAGGAGTGTTGGTAGCCGTGGCTCTGGAAGCTCTAGCAAATAAGACGGCCGCTGCCAAATTCCAGCCCTGTGGTGCAGATGCCACAGCGCTGTGCTCTAGATCCAGCCTGCAGACTGGCTTTGTGCCACTCTTCTGCTCAGTGCTGAATGACTTCAGCACCACTGATTTAATCAAAAGGTGGGGAAATTCAGCATTCAGGAAAGGGCTGACGGAGGAATCTCCAGGGTGATGTCAACATGGCTGAATGAAGGAGAGGAAGAGACAGCTAGCGAATTGGGTTGGGAGAGGACAAGGTAGGACTTGGAAACAGAAGAGAAGGTGGAACGCAGGTGTGAAGATCAGGGATGGAAGTGACTGGGAAGGTTCTGAGGAAGCTTCTTTTTGGCAGCCAATGGATCAACTGCATGGTCCCCAGTGACTGGGTCAGCAGCACATTTGTGCATAGTAGTTCTGATAGATCCTTTTTACAAATGGAGAAAAATCAAAGGGTGAAGTTAGGTGGGAAGGACCACTTGGGAAAGAGCAATCACTTTGGTGACAGGACAAATTGTCAGAGTGGCAGCACATGCACTAGAAGCCAGGAAATAAAGACAGGAGATAGGAATGGGAAGGCAGTACAAAATCTCTGACTTGCTTCATGGGCTGGGACCAGACTGGAGAGAGGCCATGTATAGAGTACATTGCAGGTGCTGGGACAGGCTCCTGGCCAAGGATGTACCAATTATTCTTGAAAGCTGCACAGGACATAGGATGGAAAGCAACATTACTAATCAGGGATTTCTCACTGTTTGCTCACGGACAGAGAAGGCTCATGAAGCCTTGTCAACCAAAATAGAAAGCAGCAGAAAGAGAGAGGCAGAATCATAGCGAATAGAGCATTTGATAGCCATTTGGAAAATGAGTTAAACTGTGGAATTAATCCAAGATTTGCAAAGGTAGATGACAATGGGCTGTGCTGAAGGGAAAGGAAAGACAGAAGGTAATGGGACCTGTGAGGAAGAAGTTTGCCAAGAGCTTGAAACAAGAGAAAGGGATGCAATGGGAGACCCAGTGTGAGAGGAAGTCATAAGCTGAGGGGATTCCAGGAGCTGTCACCCATTCAGCCTTGTGTTCATGGTAACAGCATCTGTTGCAGTCTTCAGGCCAGGAGTGCAATCACCAGGGCAGTGTCTTGCCTTCCCAGTCTAGGAATGCTCCAGTTGTTGCCTGTGAGAGGCTGGAGAGCACTTTCAGGATGCCCTGCACACTGCACTCAACAGTCAGAGGGGCCTGTGGATGGAAAGATCAGTACCTGAAGCAAGAGTGTCTGGAGGCCCACCAAACTACTTTCAGAGTGCTTGGTGCTGCTGGGGTAGAGGCTTCCCAGTCCAAGGCTCCTGTACCAGCTCTAGCAGGGACAACATAGCAGCAGCCATGGTGGCTGCATGGTGAGGACACCCCCCCCAGGGCCTGTCATATTGGCCTAATGCTAGGTTTGTGTTACGGGAAGGCAAAACAAAGCTGCCCATCGCA